GAATAATTTGTAAACACTCTGTACAGTATCTATCAGAGGAATATAGTGCAGGCAATAAGTCACAATAACGTGGCTGAAGAATGGCTTGAGAATGGTCCAAGACGGACCGAAACGTCGTCGGCCCTTCACCTTCTAAAGTGTGGTCTGGTCAACAGAGGAATATAGTGAGACCTGCAGCAAGGGGGGTTTATGTCAGGAGGCAGATGCCCGCTGACTTAACCCACGACAAACATCTTTAGCGGCCCCCTTCCACGTCGTTCTCAAGCGACCGTTGCCTAAGATGCCCCCTCCCTCAGCGAGGTCTTGACCATGAGGGAGGGAGGGAGGTGTTTCCTAGATGTGTTTTTTGTTTATTTGTAAGAACTTTTGGTAAGCTAACTAGCATAAATATATTATTTGTGGTAATATAAATATTTTAAGGTTTTTACCAATTTATATTATGATACATATCTACTTCTGTAAAGTAAAATATTTATCTGTCTGTTTGTCCAAGATTACCGACTACCCGGGACACCTCTCACATTGCATTAGGAACTCGAGGGGAAATTGGTTCACTGAGGCTGGTAAGGATTGCTCGGGACACACGGTGAATTTCTAGTATTTTGACGGTCTATTTATTACTTAACAAGCGCCCAAAACCCCCAGGAAAACTAAAAAGTGGTTTTAAAAAGTAGTATTTAACGGTGGTTAAAACCCCATTATTAACTCTTTTGAACATTTTCGCAAAGAAACTAGGAACAGTTTTACAGCGTGGAAGTCAGATGGTGCTGAACGTGCAATAACAGAGGATTAACAGTTCTTGCAAATGAAGCAACAATGAAGATATTTTAATTGAACGCTACGCTTAGTCGGGCTTCATGGCAAGCGTCAGAGGCTGTATAAAAGACAGGTGACTTCAACCTAAACCGTTACGGGCTATTCATGCCCGTGCCACCTTTTGGGTGGCTTAATCTTTTTTCAATCAATCAACCTTAACCGGTTGCAGGTTAACAAGCAAAGAATACAAAACCTTACCAACATAAGAACACAGCAAACGGCAGAAGTCCTATTGATTGACCAATACGAATCAACTCCTAGTTATATCCACCCAAACTCAATCATTCATATGTATGTCTAACCTTCGTTTGAAACAATCCAGCGATCTTACGTGTATTATATTACCCGGTAATTTGTTCCATAGATCAACAACCTTTTTACAACCAGTATTTATCCATTTTTCCGTAATATAAATTTATCTAAGATAGATTTGCATATATGTGTGTGTATATATATATATATATATATATATATATATATATATATATATATATATATATATATATATATATATATATATATATATATATATATATATATATATATATATACACACAGGACAGGTTGCTTCATGAGGAAGGTTCCTAAATCCTGGGATTAACTTCATTGTCCTTCTCCGTAAGCGTGAACTTATGTAAGTGAACTTATGTCCATTCTATAGTACAGAGACCAAGATTGTTTAATGCGTTATGAATCATGACGAGGACACACAGGTGGAAGATGAAGACCAGAACGAATCCAAGGAACATGATGAAGGATTTCTTCAGCGTGAGGACTTGTATCGGAGTTGAAGGCACCAGGTAAGGAAATGTTTGGGGCAAACTCTTAAATAGAGACCCATAAGGTTGAGTAGGTGCTGCGTTACACCAATGGAGGGAACCCAGGAGTCGGATCTCATTCCCAAAATGTACAGTTAGCAGAGTACAGTTAGACGAGTACACGTGGCGAGACCAAGACCGGCAAACAGAGGAGAAAAGTGACGGCCACACAATGACAGTGAATCGCTCTCCTCTGGTGGAGACAATGCTGATAACCGGGAAGAAGGTGACCACAGTGAGTGATGCAACGAGACCTCTCGCTAAACACCTCAGCGTTATGATTACTGGTGCACCGTAACAATGGCCCAGGAGCAAGACACCGTGGAGCCGGAGGACGCCGCCGCTCACAACACCATCCGTCTCAGTTTTTCCAAAGATTTAGTCACGCTCTGAAAACTGATGCTCCCCAAAAAAATGAAAACAAAAAGCGCGCTAAGAAATTATATCTTCATTAGATGTGTGAGTGTGTGTGTGTGTTGCCTGTCCTCTCGTGCCTCCAGGTGAGGCAGGAGACATGGAGCTGTGCCAGTGGGAGCGACGCCCACCCCGGTCAGTTCTGGCGCCTTCCCAGCCAACCCGCACCCAACGTCACTCCGCCCACCACTCCGCTTGCCTGGTGGTGGCGGACACTCGTCACTATGATGATACCTTAATGGTGGCCCGGGGTGGGCACTGGTGGTGGCCCGGGGTGGGCACTGGTGGTGGCCCGGGGTGGACACTGGTGGTGGCCCGGGTGGACACTGGTGGTGGCCCGGGGTGGGCACTGGTGGTGGCCCGGGGTGGACACTGGTGGTGGCCCGGGGTGGGCACTGGTGGTGGCCCGGGGTGGGCACTGGTGGTGGCCCGGGGTGGACACTGGTGGTGGCCCGGGGTGGGCACTGGTGGTGGCCAGGGGTGGACACTGATGGTGGCCCGGGGTGGACACTGGTGGTGGCCCGGGGTGGGCACTGATGGTGGCCAGGGGTGGACACTGGTGGTGGCCCGGGGTGGGCACTGATGGTGGCCAGGGGTGGACACTGATGGTGGCCAGGGGTGGACACTGATGGTGGCCCGGGGTGGACACTGGTGGTGGCCCGGGGTGGACACTGATGGTGGCCCGGGGTGGACACTGATGGTGGGTAGGATTAGGCAATGTTATTGTTCAGATGATATTCGTGCAGGGGTCCTGATTCTCTAGCTGGGAACTATTTGTTTATCATTTCAGCCAAACTTGGGCGGTGAATGAGTGTTCACGACTCGTGAACTGTCGGGCAGTTCCTTTCTTCTTGATCCTGTAAACCAACTTGGTATTCACATTGGTACCCAACTTTCATACGGTACATTTGTACCTATGTTCTTCTTGTGTTAACTTTTAGCAAATTGGTTCATAGTTGGTGGAATTATTGTACCTTTCAGTAGGACCTGACGTGTATCTGCGGCTTCTGCATTACTCTGGCTATGATTATTTTTCTTAATTTGTGCTAAATTCTGAGGCATCTAAATGTCTACATTCCTCCTCTTAGATGCAAGTTTTGCAGCTTCATGTGCAATGTCATTCTCTGATATTCCTACATGACTAGGCGCCCAGTTGATAAGTATTCGACGACAATGATATATGAGTATATTAATGTTATAACTTATGTGATCAAATAGATGTTGTCACGTAAGTGCTCTTGTTGCAATGTTTTGAGTTTTCAATCAAATCTATATATATGAAAATATGTCAGCAAGAGCGTGGTCCTAACGCTTTGATTAGTTAGCATCTCTGTTTTAAAAACAGAGCAGCCGTGAGAGTCACCAACTAACTACAGAATTTCATGTCTTAACTACAGCTTGATGTGTTTGACTCTTCTGGTCTATTGATCTGTCTGTGAAGTATTTTAAGCTGTCAGAAATTGAGTGTTTCTCTTTATTCATCTGTTCAGTGAAAACAGATGTGGGTTAGTCTGATTCTTTTTATTGAAGAGCCATTGTCTTAAATTCTGCTGACACTGGTTCACATGGAGCTTATATAACGAAATCTCAATGCATTTCTTCGCCATTTTTTCATTGACTGTATTTGTTATTTCAAACGTAATGGTGTTTATTGCAAAGTGAGTCCACCTGTTGCTATTGGAAGCTCTTCTCTCCCGAGTTAGTGCTCCATTGATTATATATTTAAGTTTCTTGGCCTAGTCAATATTCTTGGACTTGCACGCAGCAAGTCCGCATATAATTATTACAAACTATATAACTTTGACTTCCAATTTTAAGATTAGTATTTTAGTTCATCTCGGAGACGCCTTTATGACTCTTATTGCAACGCTTTGAATACCCTCAACCTTTGCCCACTGGCCAGGAGAAAGAGATTCGAACCACCTTCACTTGACAGCCCTAGAGTGGCCTCGTGATTGCTCTTAATATTAAATCAAAATTTTGCTTTTCCTTCAGATATTGAATTTGTTTGTTGAATGCTATTTTATTTTTCTATCATACTCCATGACATTGATTTTTGCAACAATTGAAGTTACTATCTTGAATGGGTAGGTGCCTGTCCGGAGTGTTGCCTCCTGATCTCATTGTCTACCTGTCCATGATTCCAAGGACCAACGACCCCGCGGCCCGGTTTCTGACCAGGCTTCACGGTTGGTGGTCTGGTCAACCAGACTGTCCAACCCATCCTCCTGTTTAGATAGTACTTTTTTGTAACTATGTGCACCATAGTACAAATATTGACGTACTTAGCAATTAGTAAAATTTTGTACTATTCACTTTATAGAGTCCGAAGAAATGAAACTAAAAAACAAACTTAAATATTCTTAGGCCTAGTATAGCACACATATGTACTATATTAGGCCACAGCATGTATTAGGCCTAGGAACGTTAGGTTAGGTTAGTTTAGTTTGTCTTTGCAACATAAATAGAAAATCTTTTCCGGTTTATCCCAATTCAATAGTACCGATTTCTACTTTCCAATTGCGTTGTACGTCGGTATACATCCTATAGTCCTCCTCGTTACTATAAGTACTACCAGACCAGAGGGATGGGCTGGGCTGTCCGACGCGGCTGCTCGCAGCCTGGCATATGACTCACAGCCTGGTGGATCAGGTATGCAGATATTTTGAGCCCTAAACCGCTCCACTCAAATGTTACTTGATCTAGCGGAATTTGTGCTTTATTCATATGTAATGGACTAGCGACTATTAATACTTTATCATGAACACAGCTTAGTAAATGCTTGTTCTAGATTTAGAACAAAATGCTTGTTCGAACCTGAGTTAATGGTTGTCGCGCAGTGATCAGTACCAACTCTGGTGAAGCCACTGTCCCTCATCTTATGCTATCCCTCAGTCTTCCACAGTAACCTATTTACGACCATCCTTTCACAAGTCAAACTTGTGCATAACGTTAGATAAATAAGTTTGAATTTCCAAGTTTGTCTCTGCTGTAAATTATGGTTGTCTGAGGTAGGTATGGTTGGTGGCCTGAGGTAGGTATGGTTGGTGGTCTGAGGTAGGTATGGTTGGTGGCCTGAGGTAGGTATGGTTGGTGGTCTGAGGTAGGTATGGTTGGTGGCCTGAGGTAGGTATGGTTGGTGGCCTGAGGTAGGTATGGTTGGTGGTCTGAGGTAGGTATGGTTGGTGGCCTGAGGTAGGTATGGTTGGTTGTCTGAGGTAGGTATGGTTGGTGGCCTGAGGTAGGTATGGTTGGTGGTCTGAGGTAGGTATGGTTGGTGGCCTGAGGTAGGTATGGTTGGTGGTCTGAGGTAGGTATGGTTGGTGGCCTGAGGTAGGTATGGTTGGTGGCCTGAGGTAGGTATGGTTGGTGGTCTGAGGTAGGTATGGTTGGTGGTCTGAGGTAGGTATGGTTGGTTGTCTGAGGTAGGTATGGTTGGTGGCCTGAGGTAGGTATGGTTGGTGGCCTGAGGTAGGTATGGTTGGTTGTCTGAGGTAGGTATGGTTGGTGGTCTGAGGTAGGTATGGTTGGTGGCCTGAGGTAGGTATGGTTGGTGGTCTGAGGTAGGTATGGTTGGTTGTCTGAGGTAGGTATGGTTGGTGGCCTGAGGTAGGTATGGTTGGTTGTCTGAGGTAGGTATGGTTGGTTGTCTGAGGTAGGTATGGTTGGTGGTCTGAGGTAGGTATGGTTGGTGGTCTGAGGTAGGTATGGTTGGTGGTCTGAGGTAGGTATGGTTGGTGGTCTGAGGTAGGTATGGTTGGTGGTCTGAGGTAGGTATGGTTGGTTGTCTGAGGTAGGTATGGTTGGTGGTCTGAGGTAGGTATGGTTGGTTGTCTGAGGTAGGTATGGTTGGTTGCCTGAGGTAGGTATGGTTGGTGGCCTGAGGTAGGTATGGTTGGTTGTCTGAGGTAGGTATGGTTGGTTGTCTGAGGTAGGTATGGTTGGTTGTCTGAGGTAGGTATGGTTGGTTGCCTGAGGTAGGTATGGTTGGTTGTCTGAGGTAGGTATGGTTGGTTGTCTGAGGTAGGTATGGTTGGTTGCCTGAGGTAGGTATGGTTGGTTGCCTGAGGTAGGTATGGTTGGTGGCCTGAGGTAGGTATGGTTGGTGGCCTGAGGTAGGTATGGTTGGTTGTCTGAGGTAGGTATGGTTGGTGGCCTGAGGTAGGTATGGTTGGTGGCCTGAGGTAGGTATGGTTGGTTGTCTGAGGTAGGTATGGTTGGTGGCCTGAGGTAGGTATGGTTGGTTGTCTGAGGTAGGTATGGTTGGTGGCCGTAACACCTAGAGGAAAGTAAGTGTTGACTGTGAAGTGTCTTATAAGAAACATTTGACTCTGAACAGCATGGCTGGTCAGGCATCAACCTTGACAGGAAGATGAGGCTGGTGACTCGGGGTCCGGCTGGAGGTATAAAGCCAGGCTGGAGACCAGGGAGGAGTCAGTGTCTGCTCATCACCCCATCACTACACTACCAAACATGTTCACTTCTGTATGTATTATTATTTTTTCGAGTTCCATCAAAACTCGGTGTATTATTCATTTCAGAATCGTTACAAATACAAAGCTATAATGTATTACGGAATGTTCAAGGCCAGTCGACTGCAGACAAATTTAATACTCCAGTGTACCTCCATTTCAATCCTGCAATTTTCCTTTAATCCCGTACAGAGTGCAAAAATAAACTTTATGTGAATATGAAATTTTGACAACTTTTCATTTACGGAAAAGTTCTTGCTGTGGTTCAGCGACATTTTCTAAACTGATATTGAGGTGATACAACATATAGTCTTACTTCCCTAATGACACGCACACCTGGGAACACCTGTGGGAAATGGAGCGTTGATGAGGAAGCGTGGGAAGCTGCACCAGTTAACGAGTATACACTAGGTTTCATCCGTTACTGAATCCATAAAGGTGTTACTTAATGCATAGGGGAAGGTTGTATCCGTTACTGAGTTAGTAAGGGTGGGTGAAGACGTTTCTTATAGTATATTAAAGCATTTAATTTTTAGCACCATCGTATCACAACATTTTGTTAATCATGATATATTAAATGAGTAGCCTTAAGGGTGTCAGGTAATAATAAGCTCACCCACAACAATTAATGTCTTGTGTTCCCACAGGTGGTATTGATGTGCATGCTGGTGGCCGCTGGTGTGGCTCTCCCAGGTGGATACCAGCAACCATCTTATGTACGTAATCACATGTTTCACGATTGTGTAACGTTAACATAATACCATAATTATATATAATAAAATAATGTGTAAAGATGACATTAAAAATGTCTCTTTGATGTGTTCACAGGCGCCTCTGCCCTACGATTTCAACTACGGGATCAACTCTGGAGCCACCAACTTCGGCCAGCAAGAGAGCGGCAACAATGGCAACGCCAAGGGCTCCTACTGGGTCAACTTACCTGACGGTCGCGTCCAGAGGGTTGATTACTGGGCCGACGGTAGCGGATATCATGCTACCGTGAGCTTCCAGGGCACAGCCACCCATCCCAGTTATGCTCCCTCTTATGGCTACTAACTACTGCCCACTACAGTCTAACTAAATCTACATGTTCTGAACAGCCATAAATAGGAAATAAATACTTACTGCTTCCAATTAATTTTTACTTCCCTACTGGGTCCTTATTGCACAATAAGAGAAGTCTAAGATAGTCAGTCCCAGCCTCATTGAGCCAATTTCCCGACTGAGTTCCTAATGCAACATTAGAGTTGATAAAATACGATTGACACTCTTGCAAAGTTCTGTTGTTACACTAAAATATGCAGACCAGAACACATTTTTTTAATTTAGACAAGAAACAGATTACAGAGTGGGTTTAGCCTGTACTGTAAATACACTAATCTGTTTACAGCTGCTTCTCATTAAAAAAAATTATTTTGAAAGCGCTGATAATAAAAATAAACATCCAAAATTAAATTAATGTCCATGTATATAAATTTCCGGATGCAAGTATTCAGCAACATTTAGACCGATTGATGAAAATCGATACGCCTTCCATATCTTGCAAACCCATATTACTACATCATCTTGCTTGGTGACTTCAATTTATAGCCTCCTAAAATTATGATAAATGATGTTATACCAAAGAAATTGTTTAAATAGGCACAAATGACCAGTTAAGGCTCCCTGGTAAACTTGTCTTAAACAGGCAAATAGCAGAACCAATTAAGAAACGCCTTAGACTTTCGCTTCACGAACATTGATGAACTGATAAGAAATATGATTATTACAAATTCAATTCACTCAGATTACAACCTATTTGAAGTTCAGAGAAGCACAGACCTACGCTTCTCTGAACATCTGAACTGAAGCATGAACATGCACCTACATGATCTATGTAGCCCGCCTCAAATAGATTTATTTACTTGAAAGTAAATAAATAAAACATCGCACAAATAGTTTGCGAAGAACACTTGAATGACGTAAACCTAAGTCAGTGTCTTTATAAAATAAGCACCGTAGCACATGACATATGATCAATTCACATATCACTAAGAAAAAAAGAGAAATACAAATGGAGATAGAGCAGAACTCTCTTTATAGGCGAAAAACACAAACCACAAATCATTCTTGAGAACGACAAGAAAAGTTATGAAGGGAAATATAAGTTACAGAGGAATAGCATAAGTCCAGCAAAGATAATTAAAGAGAGGAGAAAACCGTCAACGAACTCTAAAGATCAGAAAATTTATTATATGCAAACTCCTGATAAAAACACATCTAGTATTGGCCTTTTTCCCAATTCTTCCAGAGCGTGACCCTGACCTCGACTCCCATCTCATATCACCCTCAACCAACTGGACTTCTGAATCATCCATAAATAGCATGAACATGCACTCCGTTCCAGGCCCAGACTCCTAGAGTTCCATTTTCATCAAGAATTTAGTAACAATAAAGAACGACCACAAGTCATATACGTATAGGAAAATGAAGCCAAGATTCATTTTCTTCTTTTTCTCAAGTCTCTTTTCTTCAGTCTCCTCCCGGACACAAAACAATTTCCCCCATTGATACATCACGTTAATATGATTTCATTTGCATTTGAAGAGAAACGATGGAGGTAGAATTCCTAGACTACAAAGCCAGATTGTATGAGGGAATTGTGTAAAACCCTGATTAGGCTTCAGTGGACGATTCAGAAACCGTAGAAAATTCAGCTGAATCCCAGATTGGAAATCTTTTGACCGTGTCGTGGTGTATTGGTCAAAGGCGTTTGCTTGGGAGTACTCAGAGCATAGGTTCGAGACGTTCTCGTGGCTCCTACTGATTTTCTCCATATTATCATTATTGTTAATATTATTATAAAAATTTATTATATTACAATTATTATTATAATTATTATTATTGTTATTATTATTATTTTTTACTACTATTATTATTATTAATATTATTATTATTATTGAGAAAATCAATTAGAGCCACGAGGGGATTGCTATACAACTTGGGATTCCACTCAATACACAGGACGTTTGCATTAATGTGATTTCCTTAATTGAGTATTTGAAGCTCGAACGTATGGTGTAAAAATGACATTACCTATACCAGAGTACATGGGGGTTATATAGATAACCTGGACTTGCTTCCTCCAGACGTCCTGTAAATTCAGCGGAATCCCAGGTTGTATAACATATACCATGTCGTGGTACTGGGGTAAAGTGTGCTGTTTTGGAGTACTCAGACCGAGGGCTCGAATCCCCTCATTGTTCTAATTGATTTTCTTATTGATATATCACGTACGTTAGTGTGATTTCCTTGTGATAATAATAATAATATTAATTATTATTATTATTATTATTATTATTATTATTATTATTATTATTATTATTATTATTATTACTGATATTATAATATTGCTGAGGAGCTGGACTGGATATTCGTTTTGATAACCAGCTACAATAAGTATTTTATCACTGGAATATTAAAGACTCCGTAATTGAATAATGACAACGTCCCACAACGACCCAGGACTCGACGATCACTAAGCTTTAACAAACACACAACTGTCCTGTCAGTAACAAAATTAATACTCATTGGTTCCAGTTATTCAGTTGTAAGTTACGGCAATGTAACAGTAAAATTAATTAGAGAAGTGTTTAGAAGATGGACGTCAATTTTGAGTGAATAATTCGTTAAAGTATTATTTACCGGAATGATGTCACCAGAAACGTTACTCTATTTTGCGTGGTGTCCCAATATTTCACAGATAACTGCATGACTGGTGGCTCCGGCTTCTCTCAGGGAGAGGAAAGTTACCAAGTCATCATTGACCTTTGGTGAAGTCGCCGATGAAGGAATGGTGAGGCTGGTGACTCGGGGTCCGGCTGGAGGTATAAAGCCAGGCTGGAGACCAGGGAGGAGTCAGTGTCTGCTCATCACCCCATCATCACACTACCAAACATGTTCACTTCTGTACGTATTATTCATTTTCAAATCTCTAAAAAGCGAAGTTTTATATTCACTACTAAGTGATTACATCTACAAACTTGAAAAGCAATATTTAATTGAAAACGTTAAATTAGGATAGATTATGTGTAAGACTAAGGCCCATCGACTGCTTAGACAATTATTACTCCATAGTAGTTCAATTTCCATCCTGTAGTTATCTTTTAGTTCCAAACAGTATAGAATTCAAATACAATTTATGTGTATAAAAAAATCGTGACATTACATTCCATTTTTGGAAACTTATTTTCAATTGTGTAAAAGTTATTGCAGTGGTTCAGTCACATTTTCTCAAAACATATTGAGGTGGTACAACATATAATCATACTTCCCTAATGACACGCACACCTGTAAGAAATGGAGCATTGATGAGGAAGTATTTAAAGTAACTAAGTCCCTCTGGTTGCACTTGTTATTGAGTGTGAACATCGGGTTATAACCGTTATTCACTTCATAAGAGAGGCTACAACAATTATTTAGTGTGTATAGGGTTTTACGCCAATAATTGAGTGAATACGGAGATTATAACTGTTACCGAGTTCGTACATCTGAATGTTCGTGATAACATCTGTTACTGTGTACGGATAGATACACCTGTTACAAAGTGTGTACAACAGGGAGGGTTATATCTGATATTGGGTTAATACAAGAGGTTACACTTATTACTGATAATACATTAGAGTAATTTACAGTAATACAAACGTAAAATGATTGGCCAAAATAGTGTATAGAACCATTCATCTAACCCACAACAGTTAATGTCTTGTGTTCCCACAGGTGGTGTTGATGTGCATGCTGGTGGCCGCTGGTGTGGCTCTCCCAGGTGGATACCAGCAAGCATCTTATGTACGTCATCACATGTTTCAAGATTTTCTAACTTTAACATAATACCATAATTATATA